TGCACCTGCTGTCCTAGGAAAACAAGATTTGAAAATATCATAAAACTTAATGTAGCTTCCCACAAACCAGATGCCCCTAAAAACACTTACCAGATTTCTACTTAACACAAAAGGACTCAATTTGGCGAAGAAGTATTGGAGGGAGCATTGAATAAATATGAAAGAAATATGCTCGTGGTGACCCTGTCATTGATATCACTTACGAGGAAACCATTTTATGACCAAGTTCAGATCTGTTTGTCCCGACCAAAATTATCAAATTCGCAGTTAAACACACATTAGTATAGTATCTAGTATAGTTTAAAAATTCGATTTATTAAAACATTTTTTTATTTAATTTCTGAACTTTTTTTTGTTCCATTTCACATGCATTAATCTAGCAAGGTTTACTACCGGTAGAAATGAGAAATTGGCGGACTGTTGTGTCCGTGAACTTTATCGTCGGCCTACTTTTATTTGGTTAGAATGTTTCTTTTTTATTTAAAATGTACAAGTAACTGACATTTTAGTTTTTAAATTTTGTAGTAAAACAGTTACAATGCTATTAAGTTAACTGGGAATTTGGAGTTTCATTGTAGTATAATTTGTCATCAACCTAATTTGGCAAAAATATCAGTGCCGGCACACACCAATTAGGCTGAGGTTTATTCGATAGGCGGAGTTTGAATGAATTTTAGTGTTGGTGGTGGAGTCGAAATGCCACTGCAGAAAAGTAGACTTGATTCAAACACTATTTTGTGAAGGCTGAAGTATCGATTTCATCATATTTTGACTTCGACATTATAGCGACATTATAGCGACAAACGACTTCGACATTATAGCGACAAACGAGTTAGTAAAAAGGTTTAAAACCTGCGATGGCCTGTTGCAGGTGACAATCCCAGAATACATTCACAGTTTTGTGACTCTGTGATTGAGTCCATGCTAAAATTGTGGTAATTCAATTTTTACATTGCATAAAAGCATCATTTATGGTGGATTGTTTTGCAGGTTTTCGAAGAAAATATTTCGTTGAGTCTCACTTTCATAAGTTTGAGCTTACGCATTTTTAACTCAGATAAATTCGGTAAAGAAATGACAGCGTTTACGTTAAAATTAATTGTAGTGAAATTCCATTCCATTGTTTGGGTGTGTATAACTAAGAATATACCAATCTTTATAGGCAGGAGAAAAAGAGTAAAAAGTGACCGATTTTACCTATATGAAAGAATTCTCAAACTTAGCTTTATATACATGTTACCGCTTGAATAAGATGACTTTGTCAGCATGATTTGGCCTCAAACCTTTCCCTCCAAAGCCTGCTTAATTGGATCATCGTCATTTTGAATGTGTGACACTGGCAAAGATAAGGATCCGTACAAGAGAACAACATTGCTACATTTTTTATGTCTCATATAAATTTCATTCTCAAATAATACAATTCTTATACATTATACACAATCGATCGTGAGCCATAATTAGACAGGTTCAAGTTATCTTGTTTCATACTTAACCCATGCTTGTGCACAGCCTAAGATAAATGATTGTCCGAAACTCTTTTCAATCCTGCTAATGACCATGGGTCACTTTTGTTTATCTTATCAGAAGCTACCGTAAAATTTTAGATTTTAATATTTAATTATCGGAAATATCAACAAAAGGAAAGGTGAGAAATACAGAAAAATTTGTGTTGAAAATAAAAACTCTTCATCAAATCAATTGTATTGTCAATAGGATGACGCGTAAAAACATTTCTTATTTCATGTTATTACCGCGTTAACATTATAGGAAGATTTCCCCGTTTCGATTATCATAATATTTCGTGCACCCAGGGCATATGCTTTTACTTCGATAAGTCCCTAATGTCACAATGTCACTAATTTTAGAGGTTAAATCTACACAATTTACTCAACACAATATTCCGACATTTATGAAAAATATACAATACAAAACGCTAGCTATTTCGTTTATCATAGCGTATACCATTTAATAAATTCTGGTTTCGGCGTGGCTGCATGGGCCCCTACGAATTGAAACCGTGTATCTCACTTCTAAGGAATACCTATAACGTTCAAAAAGTATCATGTGCTTACAAATCAATATTGATATCATTCCATACAGAAAATAAAATGTCATTTTTCAATGTAAAATATATCATCTTTCAACATTTGCAGGCTATTTTCAATAATGTATAATTACGAATGAAATCACAACCTTCGCTTATTTTATGTAAAATTCAGCGAATTTAAGTTTTGAAAGCGATGTTATCATCCCGGAAAGTGCTTTAAACTCATTCGGAAGTTTGAAGGGTCGAAGAATTATTGTTTAATGTCAGTTATGAAAGTTGACATCTTATTCAAATTTATTATCGAATCATATATGGGATACAGTTTAATCCCGACCTTATAGAGTGGTGTATCACCGTTCCATACTTATATAATACTAAACAAAGATTCACCTTAAGAATAAGTTATCTTCTACAATCGGGGTTAAAAAGTTGGCCTGGACAGACAGTCCTATAGTTGAATATACCAATCCTTTTGCATGCTAAATTATGCAAGACATATGTCACAAAAGAATTACTGAGAAAAGACTTGGCGCAAACAAGCGTATAGATGTGTCAGATAAAAAGTGGAAAGTGGATATTGTAGCGACGAAATTTTAACTTTGTCGGACTTTAAAAAGATTCATTGTCAAATAAACATAATTTTCAACTTTGACAATAGTAGTAACTTTGGCCCGTAATGCCGCAGTCTACCTGTGGTAAAATGTATTTTGCGTAACAGGGCATCTGGCTTCTTGAAAATGAATTTGGAATTTAATTCTCGTTTAACGTACCTAAAGTTTGTTACGCCATTTTGTAATTGACGTCATTAAATGACTGGTAACGTGATTCACGCCACTGACATAGCAATCTACATCTTGGTTTCGGCATAGCATAACAATTTTTAAAAATTGTTAATGTGAAGTGGAACCTAGGAATACAAAACTGCGGATTAGACTTCTACCTATTGAGGGGTAAACACGGGCTCAGCACCTCACCCAGAGATTTAAGAAATTGGATAGTCTATGTCAAACGTAGACTTTTTTCTTATGTCATTCCGATTTGAAGAAGTACCATGCAATGGATGCCTTTTGACGATTTTGTAATGAGCAATATTTCTTTTTTAAACGTATGCATGTTATGTTCGATCTAAGGGATAATCTTACCCAGAACGTTACATAGAAGTACACCTACAATGAGGTTTTTATTTACATATTAACATATTGGAACCCAACAACGTATAGTGTACCCGAAATCGATTGAAATATATTCTATTCTCATGCTCATCTTATTTATCACACATCTTGTCGATATTACATTTTTCTTCCTCGGGACGCTTGGTAGTTAAATTTTCACAAAAAGGTCGTTTTCAATACCAAGTTTTAATGTGGATTGAAATAGTAGATCACGCTTATTAAAAGTCTACGTACCGACCATCTGTCGTGCGGCGAATCATACGGCCACATAAAAAACCACAACTTTTTGAGGTTTTTTGTACAAAAATTCGGCGTGGAGTTCAATTAGTATACCTTTTGAACTTTCATTTACTTTTATTTTGATTTAAACCAATTTTAAAATTCCCTAACGGCGCATTTTCCCACAATGTTAAATTTGTGGCCTCATTTAAAGTATTTAGCGTTCCAGTCAATGTATTGATGTTTAAATAACAGATAAATAAAATGCATACTATTCATAAGAAAACTCAAAACTAATAGTTTTGCCCGGTTTTACTAATATACATCAATATGAATAATACTTTTAAAGTTTGAAATTCATTTTTACGTGCAATTTGATGTATATGGTTCACTCAGCAATAACGTACTTTCAGTAGTTCTGACTGATTTCTTTCTAGCATGGATGATGTCGCCGATATCTTTTTTATTTTCATTTTTCCTACTATATGCCATGATGAGTGAGTTCACCTGCATATAATTTTAAATAATGTCTGATAGCACGAAGTCAAGAACTCTATACTTTGAGATTATAACCCGTCTGGGGAACGAACTTGAACCAGCTAAAACGAATCAATTTGTCACCGCACAGCAGGCTTTAAGAAACATATGTTTCGCGTCAACATGGTGGATTCACGCGACACCGCAGTCTAATGAAGTTGATCGAATGAAGTCAAGTTTTATCACGTATGGGTGGTGAATAAAGTATGCGTTGATATCGCGTTTTGACGATGATACATACTCAGCATAGTTGACTATGTATCGTTTTAAATAGATATGAAGTACGCGTTTAGAAAGAAATTTATTTAGCAAATTAGTGGCAGAAGTTAATGGCTTCCATACGGACGGTTCACGCAGACAATATGTGTTTCTCTGCAAATTATACTACCTTACCAATAAACGACTTAATTGAACGGTAGCCTCCGACTTTTATCTTTTGTAACACAGTTACGTCTCGACTAGTCGCGATATGTTGAAAAAGCGATAGCTATCGCGCCTTATAAATTTTCACATTCTATATCAGATCGTGTTTGATCCAAGCATGCGTGTCCAACTAAAGTTATAATTTATATCTGGCTTATTTCTGGCCGTGTATTACACATTTACAACACAGCCCATACAATAGCTTCCAAATATTATCATCTGACGAAATCAAAAAAGTCTCAAGTATAAACGTTCAAAAACTAAATTTCGTTTTGTTTGCTTTCTTCAACCAAACAACAGATGGATGCTGATTTTTTAATTGTTTGTTTTTCAGCCATTTTAATGACTAAATGTAAACGTTAATTCGAGGTATTCTCGTCTGCTAGATACAAGCCAATTCCGACTTTCCGAGAATTTTTATACCAAAAGACTGTTTTTGGACTATGCCCTCATATCTATCCCTTTCTCAATTGGTCAATTGGCAGAATTAGCCTAGTTATGCCTTGCTTAACCACGTTTGTGATAATCTATGAATACGTGTTTCATATTAGCTGAAAGCTGAGAGACAGGAACTTGTCTCTTTTTAAGTTCAAGCAAAATTGTGTGATATCTGTATATTTATTAAGCAAACGATTGAAAAAAAAAGAAGAAAAAAAATACGGAACTACAAAAGAAATATAATATGATCAGTAAACTGGCCAAGTGTGCATTTCTATAAAATGAAGAATATTTCACAGTACGTCAGTAATTCTCATAAACGACGCTCTTTCTGCTTTAGTTGAGCGCTTATTTATAAGTTGTATAACATATAACATCAAAATTCAGCTTGCAGGTATAACTCATCCATAAAAAAACTTATAAAATAATATCTAATGACATTGGGCAGCGAAAGCATAAATATGCGTATATGATTGAAATTTTGAAGTCATATTTTATTGCAAATTCAGATTATATTATTACAATTCTAGTTTATGAATGAAAATGGCGTTCAACGCCAGAGAAAGCTTCTTTTACGACTGCCAGCAGCGCACGGTTTTCGTCATTTGTTTGATCCATCAAATGTTGCCGTAGTTGAAAAAGATACGAAGTAAAATTTTCGTCCGTTGGAAATTCCTATAGTAGATAAATATAACTGTATAAATATACTGACGCTTGACGTTTACGTCACAAAGCGGAGCGATTTCTCACTCGAAGTCATAGAATAAGTTTGGTTAGAAACCTGTAATCTCGTTATAATTTTTTGTGGAATCAAAAAATAATTATTACTTTTAACGCACCAATTCTTTAAAACGTTTTATGTAAACTGTACTTAATTTGCAAATGCTTAATTTAAAAACGCAAATGAAATTTTTTAGTGGTGAAAATTACTTAAATTTTATCAAAGTCAAGTCACACTGGGCTAAACATACGACTTCTCAACATATGGCGCGAGCGCATGGGTAGTAATTAATTAGATTCCAAGTACTTCGAGGCGAAAAATGAACTTATGGGGAAATGCTCCAGCAAAGTGAGAGATGGAATAAACATGGCTAATAAGATGATTCCCTCCATTAGTCCTTGAACTAAGTTGCTTAAGTGAAAAAGTAAAACCTCCCTAACTAGCGTGAAACGTAATAATATACGGTTTATGGCGTTACATGAAACGTGCATCAAGGGAAGACCCACCCACAGTCTCCTTTATATGTATAGACTATTACTCATTTACTTCTGGGAAAATCAATGACCCATACGATCTGATTGCGTTTGTGGGAAGATATAAACTATTATCTAATTGTTGAAGCAAATAATTGGATATCATGCAATATGGTATGGATCTACTTAGACAAAGAACTTTTGTGGACATTTTCCTGCAAAGAAACATTGGTTATAAATTGTTTTAGGAAAATTTTACGGAAGTGTTGAATTGGATCACTCACTCATGATGTATTAAAAGTATTTATATGAAAACTTACTCTGGTATGAGGGAGAGCAATGCCGGCGAGCTTGTTGATCAGATTTTGTGTGTTGACGTCATTTTCGTACAAACTCAATTCCTGCAAAATTGAAAAAAAAATTGGAAATCAACCACAGAAATTCTTTTATAGAATAAAAGCATGAAAACTATTTTTTCAAATGTATTGGTAATATTGTATTAAAAAACATATGATACTAGTTTCGAGAAATGAATGTTACAAATATATCATTGTTTATCAAATGGTCAGTATTACTTCAACGATTATTTGTTGTAATAATCTTTTTGTATAGTGCGCAGAATGCATTCAAAATAAAATGAAATGAATTTCTAAGCTTTTTTTCTCAATAGCGAGACATTTTATAAAAATACTTCCGTCAGTTGTGTTTAAACTGTCATAAACACACAAATAATATTATTAGTTTTTTTCTATTTCTTACTTTTCGAGCGTTTACAGTATTGAAAATGATCTTGATTAATTCCTCTCGACTTTCACCAATATTTGATTCTTGAGAAGTTGGTTGTTCCGACTCGCGTGCGCAAAACGGCTGTTCGGGGCAATCGGTTGCTTCCATTTTAACGTGAATAGGCGATGGACTGAAAAATAGAAAAAATAATAATTTTAATATTCAGTAACGTATTTTATATAGTTGAAAAAATGACACGTTCTTTGACAATTTCGTAGTAATATTTAGGGGTTCATATTAAGGTAATTAAAAAGTTTAAAGTGTCTTTCAAAAATACTTTACTCTAAAGAAATTTGTCGGATTGTCCAAGGTTGCACCTCTGGTAAAACTATAATCGTATAGATATGGTTCATGCTCGAGTGTGCAAAAGTTGGAGCATAATTTTCGAAATATATATTACCTCACTCTTCTCTGTCGTTCCTCTGCGTTATCCAACGATCTATCTAAACTTTCATTATTCTGAGTCGAAGTTTCAGGCTGTTGCTGTCTTTCCTTTACGTGGAGATCATATTCTTCCGTTTCCCGAGATATTTCCGTATCAGTTACCTTGTTATTTTGGTAATTTTGCATGGATTGATGCTTTATATTAGAAGCCTCTTTATTGATAAGGTTTACAGTGGCTGATATTTCACTCCGATGTTCAGAAATTCGTGATCTTTTCGCCCTTGGACAACCTGACAAGCTGTAGAATAAAATATTACAAATACAAGATAAATTATAAAATTTTCATCATTTCTAACAGTTAATGTTTTTTCCGATATGCATATTTGTTCATTTACTAGTATCCGAGTATAAGTATTTAGGTTCTACTAGTTTTATAAAAGTTGCGACAAAATATTCTAATGTGCTTCAATTTGTATCATGCCATTTGCAAGAGACAGGAAAAACATGAATAAATTATAGGGTCACTTTTCTTTACATGAATATTTTGACAAGATATTTTGACGTGAGATAAGTTACGCTTTGTGACATTAAAACACACCAAAAAACTAAAGCGAGCGCGTTATTTATAATAAAATATATTTGAAACAAAATTATTACCTCCGATGTGAAGTGTAGTTTCCTGTCACGTGTCCTGAGCCATCACAATTTTCAGTCGGACATCTGTAAATTATTCGAAATAGAAAATATTGTGATTACAGTGAAAGTATGAATGTCAACTTAGTTTATGTATTATTGGGCAATCGCATTTCAAATAATGCCGTAATATTCCCAGGAATTCCTAGTGTAAATATGTAAGCTTATATAATGAAAAAAAAAATTACTTTTTCTCGGTCGAAAACTGCGATACTAGAGATCTTGGTGCTAGTGGACATCCAGATAAACTTCGGTGTGAAGTGTAATTTCCAGTAGAATGTCCAGATCCATCGCATCCTGGCATTGGGCAGGTTTGTCGTCCTTTCTTATTACAGTCTTGTGCTAATTGGCTGTTGGGATTTCTAAAACAAAGTAGAGGAATAGTATTTTTATTTGAATTTACGTATTTTTTTGATGTTGATGATAATTTTTTTGGAGGCAACGACTGACGGATGTAAATATATTTTCAAATCTGTAAAATCTACTAAAGATTTGTAACTATTTTACTTATTAATAAGTACTGGTAATTACATGGTTTAGAAAGTTACTTTACGGGGAGTTTTATATGGGGAGGTATTTATTCAAATGCTCAATGTACTTACGATGCCAGAAGCGCTTTGAGATCCATATTTTGCATAGGTGACGTCATATGTTGTGGCGTCATCAGAGGTACCGATAGCAGATTTCTGTGTCCGACCGGATTCACCATCATCGAAGGCGTTTTCATTTCAGGACTAAAAATGATTTTTTTTTTTTAATTTAGTTTAATTTTTATATCGTGATTCGGTAAAACATTTTACGTAAGTTGACCATTTATTTTTCAAGTTCGTCAATAGTTACCTCGACTTCAATCCTTTGGAATAAGAATTTTCTTTTTGCTTCACTGGTGTTGACATTCGATGAAATGGTTGAAGACGAGATCTTGAAAACCATGCATCTGGAGATCCGTGAATCAAAGAAGGTTCTAAACGAGGAAAATAAGTATTTAATAAAACCCTGATTTTTTTTTATTTTCGCGCTCAATAAACATATCATATTATTAGGGTTTTCTTCGACATTACGAACGAGAAATAACGATAAGTTGAACCTGTTGAATTAATTCACTTACTTGAAGCGTAGGCTAGACTTTGTCTTTGATGGTTTAATATTTGATCTATTCTAGATCCAGAGAACATATCAGGTTTCTGTTCAGCTGACAAGGCTGCCATCGGTAACAATTCCAAGCCTCCGGGAGTATTGCGGATACCCTGAAAATAAAAAATAAAATAATTTGTGTATTTAAAATAGTTTTTAAATTTTAATATTTCAATAACAGTATTATATATATCTTACCTTTTTATTGGTTTCATCCAGGTGGGATTTGTTGCATTTCAAAAATATCTCTCTCAGTGGCACGGGTAAATTTGGCGACTCATTCAGTTTAAGCATATTTGATATGATTGGTTGTGTAGCATTGAAATCTTTTTTTATGTGCTCAGTCATATATTTTCTTATATTATCACGTGCTATGTATGGTTGACGGTGGTCGTTGGAATCACTTTCATTCCCGAGTTTGAATTTGTTTTGAGAAACTTTCTCTTTTGTGTTGGACTTTACTCTCAAATCTAATGCTTCTTCGACAGAGTTATCGGATTCGGCTGGGGTTGAGGGTGACCCGTTCTTCTCAGACAATAGGCTTTTGACCGAATTTTCGCTCCAACTTTTAGATTGATCTTGGTTTCCAAAGAAAATACCGGAGTCTTTTTCGTTCCCATCCACTCCGGATGATCTTCTGGAATTGTCACTGGAGTCGGAATAAACCGGTGATACAGCAGTATTTGATAAAACTGACCGATGATAATCGTGAAGTCTGGAAAACGCGGGAGGTGTAGAAAATCCAAATGGACCAATATTGGGCTTTATGAGCTCAGGTGGTCCAGCATTCAGTGATTTGAGTTTTGAAGCAAACTCTTGCTTTTCGTTTGCTATTGTTAGAAACTTCTCATCAATGTTTCTTCTTTTAGAAATCGATTCAAAAGCGCTGTCGAAGGCGCGTTTAAGCGGATTCTTCGCTTGTGGTATCGAAGCGGAAAAAAGGGGGTTCAGAAAAAGTGCAGGATACATCTAAAACAAAATCATTATAGCATATTATTGTTAAATATAGGAGATTATTGAAATTGGAATTTTGGTAATTAATTGTTTCCAAATTCAATTTGGGCGATCAGTGATTACTGCGTATAAAAAATAGAAATACGATAACAATTGTCTTAAACTCACTTGACTTAGGGCAGGTTGGGTTGCCATGAGTTGAAGAGCTGCTAATTTTGCTGCCTCTTGTTCCCATACAAGTCTTGGGTTTAGCAGACCAAAATTTGCTGCAAACGCATTATATGGTGGAGGCGCCATTCGATTTCCCATTAATCTATGAACCTGATGTAAATAATAGAGAAAACAATTTAATAAAGAAATAGTTTTACACTGTTTATTAGTAAATGGGCTATGTTTTTAAATTTCTGTACAAAGTTACAAAGTGCTATAAGTTTGGAAAGAAAATCAAAGGGAGAATAGCACAGAATATTTTACTAGTGACATACTATATTCTGTTTGTCTAAATATACCATATGACTCAAAATTGCCCGATATGAAGTTATATTCAAAATCAGAGTCGAAAATTTCATTTGAATAAATTACAGTTGCATTTTAAAATTATATTAATATTACTGATATTTTAAAAGTCTCTCAGCTTAATAACGACTGACCTCCTCATTTGTAAGATGTTCACCATTTTGGTGACTTTTCGGCAAAGGGAGCCCCATGTTTCTGCGCGTGGAATTTGCTGGCGATGTCTGCTCCTTTTTTCGCATACTTGGGTCAACATCAGGAGAAGATCTGTTGGAAGACGTTTGTCTCTGGTAGTCTGATTCACTCGAATCGATCCTTATCTTTTCTATAAATGATAACATAATATGTTCAATATAACATAAGTATTATCAAGTATAAGTACCAAATAAATAACTAAAATTTAAATAGCAATCGACTCGTTTGTATTAAGTATTAACAAACCTGAATTATTTCTTTCATCCGAGTGGGAATAAATAGGCGGAGTCAATCGAATACTTCTTGGTTGAACATGATTTCTATCCATTCTTAGTTGAGATTTTGATAACAAAGTTGTCGGAACAGACGTCGGAAAAACTTCACTGAAATGTTGAATGGGGTTGAAAAGATATTCGCTTGAAGGAGTTTTTCCTTCGGACGAAGGAAATTTCAGTTTGCTTGGGGCTGCCAATGGACATCCTGATAAACTGAAAACAGAATATACGTTTGTTTTTATTTTTGCCAGGATTCAATTTCATGTATTATTAGCAATGTACAAAAATGTGAAACAAACGTATCTATTTATGTATAATCAATTGGCTGTGCTTTGTTGATGTAAATAACTTGTGTATCTGACCAATCGCTTTCTAACGAAGTACTATACGCGGCATGGACTACTATTTAAATTTTTTAAAATTGAGCATTTTTTGATATCATTCAGAATTGATTTTTAGCATATCGCTGTATGTAACAAACACGATTTGATTAAATTAAATATATTTTCAATTTTCTTGATGTTCGTATTACAAAATAATTTATTTTACCTTCTGTGAGTTTGTCTGTTTCCATTAATATGTCCTTTGCCGGTACAACCATCAGTTGGACATTTTGGAGAGCGGTCATGGAGTGCCTGGACTATATAAAAAAAATACTCATTACTTCAATAGCGTAAAGCTAGTTTTTCTATTTTCATTTTTTTCTATTTGATTAATCATTTTTATGAAATTGAGTGAACACATACTTTGTTTGGGTACTTTGTCTTTGTGTGGGCATCCGGATAAACTTCTGTGATGTGTATAATTGCCTGTTGTATGACCTGTTCCATCGCATCCGGGAGTTGGACATTTACTTTCTTTGCTATAATTGTTTGAACCCCCATGCGGAAAACAAAATGGAGGTCCTGAGGAGAAAAAGAAAAAATCGATAAAATAGGAATAATATTTGATATATTCCATTATGTTAGATACAGAATATGCATTTTTTTAAATATTAAATGTGTATTACCCATAAGTGGGTTTAAACCACGAGTCGCATCTTCTTCTTCCATTGAGCGCCGGCTCAAAACATCGGCGTTGGCGAAAGAGCACGGTACAATTTCCGGCGGGCTTCTCGCACTTTCCCGTTCTTGATACAGATGTGATCGGCTATTTAGTGCAAACGGAATTGACATTTCACGAGGTAACAAAGGTGGCGGCGAGGAACGAGGTTCTTGGGGATCTTCAATAGAAGCTGGTCGACGGACAAATGGCGAAACTGGACTTTCTGAATTTGACGATTCCCCTATAGGAGTAAAAATATGTTTAATGCAAACGTTCATAATAACAGAAAAATTCGTATGTTCGTTTCACTTTGAGTGAAGTATCGCTGCAATTTAGGGTTCTATATTCACTCACCATTTAGGGTCACACAATTAAAGCTCATTTTGAAAAAGAATTATATGAAGACATATTATTCAAATTGGTTTTTAACATCCATATAGCAAAAATGAAGTCTTTAAAATTTTTATTTATTATATTTACGACTGCTTACCTCTTTCTGTCGTTCCGCTTTCAGAGTCTTTTATGGCAACATATGTAGGAGAATATGTCGGTGAATCGCTTGGCTTACTGATCGGTTGAAATTTATGAACATTTGCATTGTCAAATGTTTTTTCCTCTTCGAATCGATCACGCTCATCAATGATTTTCTGCGATGACGTATTGTCTTCCCAGTTATTTTCTGTGGGTGAAAGTTTTCTGTTGCATTCATTGGACGAATCCGTGTCGTAACTGGTCTCGTGCGGCGATAATTTCGAATCATTTCTAGCATCTGTATTTACTTCTACATTGGATCGTGGCATGAATTTCAATCCTTCTTGGAAGTCGTCATCAGAAAGGCAATCGTCGATGGGGCGGCCATCTCTTCGGTATGCACCGATGTCATTTCTTTAAGAATAAAAACAGAATATTTATTTTAATTAAAATTATCAAACATTTATTAAATCTGATCTATCTTACTTATATCTAAACGTTTGTCGCTACAAATTTATCAGGACATTTAACGATTAAGTTAATCGCACTCCTTAATATTCCCAAAGCTCCCATAGAATTTTCATCGATAGCGTTGTATTCCCATAAGAAAGTAGTTATGTGCCGGTAATTAATATATAATATCTTTTGCAGGAGTTACGCCATTATGTAATTTGAAAGTGGTCGAAAGCTTGGTAAGAAAAAATCGAAAGTTAACTTCTTTACATATGGCAATCACGCGGTACTTTTTATTTTTTGGTTTTAGATCTAATGATTGTTTTGATGACGTCGACTTTAGTAAATGTAAAAAATGAAATATGCTTTATCAGGCATAGATTGTTCATGATGTATACATATCAAGCACACATGAAGAAGCACACAGCGCTAACCAGCTGCCGAGTAATCGTGATGATTCTTCGAATTTATTATAGTTCGGCGACAAAATATTATTGGTTGACGACAAAAGTACTTTGAATTGTTATTGAAATATTGAATCTTATAAATGTATGCTAAATTGCATGAAAATGCATATCAAACCACGGTCTAAGACAACGCTGTTTGTTTGAAAAAAAAATTCCACAGAAAGTTCCCTCTTTCATTTTTAGTTATTATTATTATTATGCATGCACTTCAAAAGAGGTAATGTCCCAACGTGTTTCATTGTATTACAGTATATGGAAAAATTCTAGCTGCCAAACTTCACAAATGAAAAACAATGGCGGGTCGAGAAAATCATATCATATTTCGGAAGACGTATTTCCTTTTCTATGCAATTTGAACCTTGATATCTTACTGCATCCGTAGCTTAAATCTATACCATTCTGATGGAAACTTTGCCGAGCTTTTATTACATAAAACTACCCTCGACCGCGAGGCCAAGTTTTAAAATAGGATACAAATGAAACAGTTACTATACTTTGTACGTCAGCGATATTTGCTAATATCAGAATTTCAATACAAATATTTTACTAACCTTCCGAAACTATTATACACAGCTCCCTCTTTGTCGACTGTCGTACTGACCATGATTGCAGACATTGGTAAGCTGCCCTTAAGGCTTCTTGCCCAAACAATATTTATATATTTTCGTAATCAAAAGGTGTATCAAGCTAAAACTGAAATAATAGCAATGTATTATTGAAAGAAGAAAAATTTAGAGCCAAAATAATAAATAAAATATTCTCGGACACTGCTGTGGAATCTCGCTTCGCAGAATTCTTTTTTTGCAACCCTCCGAAAAAGAAAAGTTGAAAAGGGATAACTTAGCCAAGCTAGGCTGAGGTTGTTTATCAACCCAACTAAACTCGCCGACTGACTTTTCTTTGGTTAGTCGCCAGATTTAAAGAACGAAGACCCATCACAGAACAATAAAACTATGCTGTTCAAGTTCCCTTTTTCTTTTTGATGAAGAGCCAGTGTGAGAGAAGTAGTGAAGTAAGAACATTCTCTCTCGTTTTAAGCTTTGCAAGAATACAAAATGAGAGAACAAACATTGACGTGATTAACGATTGTCGATCGGGCTTTTCCTCTCTTACTTGATGTTCAAACGAAAGCAATAATTAGCGAATCATATTTCATCGCTCGTTTTTAGATTAACCGACCAAATCAACGAAAATATATGTTTCCAAAACACACGAAAAAACGAAACATACATCTTGAGAATATTTGATTAATACTGAAAATTCATTTTATTATTGAAAATTTGAGATAATTGGTGCTCTTGGTATAATTCAATATCATTTACGGCCGTCCATGATCATACTTGCCCTCGTACAGAGCTATATAAAAATTTGTGAGTTTGTTGTTTAAACTAACTTCAATGAAAATATACAAACACCAATTAACACATCTATCATTATGGCGGTACGTAGAATAACTGTAAAATTTATTGTTTATGCTATTCATTACATGAAATACCTTTGATGTGAAATATAATACACAGACACATAACAACTAGAGTAAAATAACAATATAATATGACAATTATCTTGACCCATTTTGGAGAATATATTATTGGCAATGAGTATATATTTCACACGGGAGGCAGGAAATAGTGAGTATCCCAATAAGAAAACAATGATTCGTTTTTTTACAACCAAACATGGCGAATAGTTGCAGTAAGACACAAGGACGCTGTCCATTTATGTCCCACGATTGGTGCCAATAAAATATTTTCATATAAATATTAGTATTTCAAAATGGCGGAAATGTTTTTTGAATTTTGATCAATTGTCCATATTATTTGTATTAACACTTTTGGGTACGTGTACAATTGCTGCATGTTGTCGCGTTTACTAAGGAAGAATAATGTAAAGCCACAACATTTAAATAGTTGTTTCATATTTCGAGTTTGAATTTTCAGGACTTTTCTAGTCGTGGATAATATATTCTTACTGAAATTTTATCAATATGCTATTAATTTAAAAAAAGCACAGTCGATCTTACGATCCCCATGCCATTGCCAAGTTACTTTTACTTTTTAAAACATAATCGTTGCAACACCTACCATAATTAGGTAATTAGTCTAATTGAGACACACGCATTGTTAAATAATTAAAGATCATTTTTACGGATGCTGAGATAATTAACCAGCTATGCAAATACTTTGCATCCTTTGATTTAAGACAGGACATTCATTGTTGAAGTTGGATGCAAGTAGTTTAAGCTTATAAATCCTTTCTACATTTCTGCCAAATTTCAGGACACCACCTGGAAATTTTTGATGAAACTAAGAAGATTAAAAATATTAAAAACTAAAACTGCCATTTGTGTTTTAGTGTACTTTGCTTACTTCACTAGATAGATATGATTTTGTTGGAATAAAATTTAGGCCGAGTAACTGAAAACTTATTTGTGAGTTTGCATTCCGTACGATATTTTGAGAAAAATTCCCAATTACTTCTACTTAATTACAGTAAAATACACTTATTGTCATAGGATAGTATTCGTTTAAACTTATATCCAACAAATACATAGATGTTCTGTTGCATTTCCGGCGAACAAAGCCACCTGAACCTCGTATCACATTTCCGACTTGGAACGACCACCTTCTGATGATGCAAATTAGGTGATTAGTGACCTAATATCTCTATAACATGTTAGTAACGTTATACATGACGGAAGTCTAATTAGGAAATGGATGATTACATCATTTAAGTGTGATGGAATGAATATTCCAAATATAGGGCAGATCTTAGAATGTACGGAGATAATTTCGAATCATATCTAGCATCTACATGGGCTTTTACATTAAATTAAGCAGTAGTTGCCAACCTTTTCGATAAATTCCCCTTTTGCCTATTTTAGACATCTTTATTGTCCTCCTTCACTATACGAAAAACTACTGCTTTTGCACAGTTTGAAAGTTTACAATAAATCCATAAATGGGTATTTCAATAATACTAACAACCAAAATAAAATTTGTGAAACTAAACCAAATACAAAGTAATATCCCCTTCCCAAGAATATCAAATTCCCCCTCTGGCAAGGAATTCTGCCCGGATGGATCTGGGCATGGATTTCAAGCTTATTTTTTAGGATATAATTTATTTAAATATAATTTAAGAAATAATATTAAATTAAATTACGGTGTAGTTTCTTAATTGCAATATACATAGAAAAAATGAAAGCAGAATTATGAGCAATTTACTATACCACATCGAGATTTGTTCAATCTTTTATTACGTAATAAATTATACATTATTGTATTGTTGATTGCATGAAATGTGTTTAGGAAGAAAATCTTTACGTGTGTCGAATATACAAAAAGAATTTCAAAAGACAATAAAAGATGATAATCAAAACCTATACGCATATGTTTGTTCATAAGGAACAACGGGATGTTCATTATTTGCTTATTATACTTATGTATTGACAAAACAGCGTCATGCCACCCGTCTAACCGTGTGTAGTAATCGCTTTTGTTGATGCATAGCGTGAAATTTATACTCTCTATTTGTTCTGGATTATCTGCCACCTGGCTCTGTTTACAGCATGCATGATTTATTATTAGTTTATAGTATTTAAATATTTTTGCAATAATTTCCACCAATATTGATGTTCGTTAACGCAATATACAAGGTACTTGTTTCAAACAATCTACGTTACGTAACGGATGCGTAATTTGTATGCATAATGAGAAAGTCAATAAACAAATTTGAAATACAATATACAAAATAATGAAGAAAAAGACAATATATTAATGTAAACAATTTTCAAACGATTGCTCCCAATTTTGAAGTTTCAATCGTGTAACTCGAAAAAGTATCATGGATTTATTCATGTGTATATGCTTATATGCATATTGTTATCAATCCGCGTCAACGTCAGCAGGAGTGCTTTTATGTTTAACAAAAGTTGACAAACTATGATTCTATAAAACGTTTATTTTTATTATCATAATTATGGTTATGTCACTAAAATGGAAATTACTAAAATCTCATTTTATATTGAGACAACTCTTGAAAATTATTACAAGTCTTAAAAAGAAAATATTTGATATTTTTATTATTACAAAATTATTCTTCTATCTGTCTATAATAACATCAACGTAACAGAAAATAAATATTTTTTTGAAAACAGTTTTTAAACTAACATTTTTTTAAATGAGTCGCATGATCAACTTTGGACTGAGAAATCAATATTCCAATCCTACATATTTGAATTGAAAAATTTATTTCATAAAATAATTATTGAATAAATAATATTATGGATTAAATTTTGTGTTCAAATGTGAATATTATACACTAAGAATTATACAGAATGAAGAATTATAAAATGTTTGAGTTTTCCTTAACATTGTCTTAATTTTTGGATCCTAGTTTTGTGTTCATAAACTATCTGAGCCTTACTCTTTCGCTATTAAGATTGTGACTTTATACAGTTATTGCAGTTAATACAGATCTGATTCATCTGTATGTTCCTTGAAATCATCCAACTTTTCAGTACCAATGTAATATATTGGTATATTAGTTCAAAATAAAAGTAAGACCGAACGATTTCAGGATGAGGAACTATGTGACACAAGCAGGTGGCATCACGATCTCGCACATGCACAGTAACAATATATTTTGTCATCTGCAACAAACATTACGAACTAAGTGCTGAAGTGGATTATCTTGAAATTACAAGTAGGTTTGCTCATATGCGAGTAAAAAAATGATAATTCGTTAACCCGTTGACTTCAAATTTTATTTTTCGCTCTCACTTCATGCATGTTAGATCAATTCGGCGTGTAAAGGGTTGATGAAGATACTAATCGCCTTTCAATTGGAGGACAAAAGAATATAGAAAACTCGTTAAAATATGAAAAATCGATGAGGATTGAAACTGTTTGTCTGTTGCACCTGGTAACTTGAGAATTGGATTTTCCTCATATGCTTATTGGTATGACAGTAGGGCTTCTCTCAACCGACCCACGCACGATTTTGCATGTTTATGCGTCTGTTCTATCTTTGGAAATCGGCTTGAATACAAATGGTTAAAACATCAACAATAACAAAACACTTTTATGTCCGTTGTGGACTTTGTCGAAGTATATGACAGTGTTCGAAAAGGAGTACAAATTTTAGCGTCTATTTTCTAAGTCGATTATTTAAGCAATAAACTGTTTCCCTAATATCTTGCATCAGTTCCTAATTATAACACCTCCAAAAGAGTTTATCCTTTTGCCCGAATTGAATGACAAATATAAATTCTATTTCAAGTTTGAACAAAGTGACAAGTTTGATGTTATCTTTAATGTCGCACACTTTTGACGTACTTTCAGACCATTTCGGACGAGGCGATTTAATTTGTTTTTGGATCAAAATTAATATTTTATGAAATTGGGACGCAATTGCCACCAAAGTTTGACAAAAGAAGCCATTTTCACTTAAGTGTTTTAATCGGCGCGACTTTGCGATGACAGAACGGTTATTAGGCTGTTATACATATAGGTAAAATATCTGGAATGTGGGAGTAAATACATTTCCCAAATCTTAAATAAATTTCCAATATTTTTAAAAAAGTAGGAATTTTTTAGGCAATCATGACTAATTTATAAAAACCGTTCGAAAAATAAGATTTGATTTAATTGAAGAAGCTTGCTTTGTGTTCCCGTGAAACTAATTTCACGAGTTTTTTTAACAGTATACAGTCCGGTCAGAAGTCACTTGACAAAATAAACAATCCCCCAA